TGTCTCGATGAAACCATCCTGGCTCCAGAGACCAACTGAGGTTTCTCTCCACTGCAGATTCCACAAAGACTCAATGTGTTCAGGATGAAAGCTTCAGGCTGTCTGAGCTGATGGCTGTGCTCTGGAAAGTGACCCCTCTACTGCTTCCTGTACTATCCTCACATGAGGTTGGAAGCTAAAGTATGACCATCACTCTGTCTGTACAACAAGAGGAGAGAAGACAGAGGCTAAAGCTCTGTTAGCACCACCTACAGGCTGCAGTGCTCATTACACAACACAATAAGGAAGTATGAACCATACTGCTTGTAATGGGGCTTCATTCACAGTGAGGCACAAGAGGAAACATTAATTAAAATGAAGCACATAGTGCAGAGGCAAAATTCAGGCCAGCTTCCATCTCCAGGTGGTCAAAAAACGATGCTTTGTCACAGCCCGCATGTGGTATCGACGCCAAAGGCACCCTTTAGCGTATTTATGAGACACACCAGGTGTTAGCTAACTCCAATGTAAACCCATTTGTGGCCATACTTGACACTGCAAGCAACTGGCATAGTATAAAAGAGCAAGAAAGTCCATGTAGGAAATCTGTGTGACACAGAGGCCTCTAGTTTCGCAGACCGGGCGAGGCGGAGGTGCATGCATGCAGGAGGTGGATTTTGCAAGTCTGGCACACCATGCGCGCTGGCGCAGCTACCCCTCTTTCCCACCTCCGTCCCTCCTACCTGCACAAGTCGGAAAGAGGGAAGAGAGAAGGCGTGGAGTGGGTTTTACACAGCTGATTCACATTACACCAATCAAATGAGCCCCTCTCCTCGCCCTTAAATGCGCCGCGCGAAGGCGTAATGAGAGTTTACTCAATTCGCCATGGCAGAAGAGAGCAGCAGTGTCAGACGGCCAAACTTCTCCCAGGAGGAAACTGATGTTTTGGTCTGGGAGGTCCAAGCTCACAGTGTCCGAATATACGGAACTGCGAGCAGACCTCCATGGGCTGATGATGCAAAGGTAGCCTGGGAGGAGGTCACCACAATTGTAAATCAATGTTGCCCGGATACACTGAGAAGAACAGAACATGATGTTTATCTAACCTAACCAAACAGGTTTGTTGGCTAAACCTAACCACTATCGTATGTGTTTCTGCTGTGCATCAGATAGAAGTGCTAAGGGTGTGACAAAGTGTTAGTATTTGATGACCTGGGTCTAGGATGAGAATGGGTTGAAAATTCCCACCAGCCACCACAGAGCACTGGCTAACATGTGTTTGTTTATTTGTTTATTAACAAGGATCCCCATTAGCTGACACCAAGATGCCAGCTAGTCTTCCTGGTCCGAATGTTCTGAATGACAGCACAGGTATTATTGTTCCAAACGTAGATGTCTTTTCTCCCACTGGTGGACTCAGGAGGGGGGGAAGTGGGGCGACCGCCCTTCTTGGGGCCCCCATGTTCAAACAAATCACAGCAGTTCTTGGATGCCCTATGGCAGATAAAACATAATGTGCCCTCTAGGGTGCCTTTGTGGAGAAAATGTGATGGAATGCCCTCTAACCCTAGGTGTACAACCTAACGCATTGACGGATTGACGCTGACTGGAAGTCATTCATTCCAATGGAGGTGAAAATGGCAGATAGTAACGGACTAGCACGCAGCTTTGTCTATTCGGGTGTTGACAACATGGGAGAAACGGAGCGTTACGGTGCCGGAAGTAGGAAATAAATTGCAATTGCAGTTGTAAACAAACAATATCTCATTTATTTATGCAAAAGAAAAATAAGCATAAGCTTTTTTTTCCACTATTAAAAGTTATTGTTGACCATAGGTTGATTTCTATGCGGTTGATAATTAATCTGTATTTTCGAATTTTGCACTCATTTCCATAGCCCATTTCACACCTATATATCAGCTCTTTCAATAGTACACTACTCAACTCATCTCAGGTCAGTTGGTACAGTGACAGTAAACATGAGAGATCTTTGCAGGCAGATAATGCTAGCTCTTCTGCTAGATGACTTTGTGGCTTTCGTCCATCTTGAAATGACATCAGCACGCTAGCTAGCCGCCCGCATCTGGCCAGGTCTGTCAACGACGGAACCTCACGGTGTTGTTCTGGGGGTGGGGAATGCGTTCGGGAAACACTCCGTTAAAACAGGAAAAAATAGGTCGTGCACCCGGTGTAAGGCAGTGTTTCTCAGTGGAGAATGCATACCCCAAGGAAAGTATTTTACCCCTTTATATAGGCTTTTTGTCTATCAAAAATGTTTTGTGCTGGTCAGGGGGTACTTGCTTGAAAAAATATATCAAAGGAGGTACATAATTGAAAAATTTGGAGAACCATTGCTCTATGGTGTACATACCCCATGTAATGATAAACCATCCATGAATTTGGAAGGCTGTGGTCATGTGACCAATGCGCTGATGGGAGGAAAGAAGCAAAGGGGTCCCAAGCAGCCCAGTTCAGAGGTAGATTGAGGCAGTGGATGGGTCACAAAACATAGGTCTTACCCCTGGTGTTTGGAACTGTGTGAACTCTGAGTCATTTTATGGTACGCCATCATCACGTTTCTTTTCTTAAACCTAACCATATTAACTTTACCTGTCTAAACCTTAAGATGCCCAACCGTGTTTCTTTTCCTAATCCTAACCTTTGTAACTTTACCTTAATTGCATAACTTTACATTGAGTATGTAACATCATTTGTGGGCCACTAATTTGTAGCATATCATACGAACCCTTGTGTGTACATTTTCGTAGGATATCAAATGAAGTGTTGTATGAGGATACGTTGCAAGTGGGAGTATGCATTCCCCTACGGGTACTTTGGATACTCTCCTATATGCCAATGGCTTTTTGGCTGATAAGTGGTTATACTGTACACAGCCAAAGGATACCCCATATTCCTGCATATACCCTTCACTACACCACTGCCCCTGCCCCTGAGACAGCCTGAGTCCGCCACTGTTCCCCTATATATATTCCTATTTGAATGTTTTCTTCTTTCAGCTTTTGTTTCTAAACATAGGAGCATAAGTCTCTACCTAATGACTTAACAATACAGTGCTTGTTATTATGGCCATACATCCTCTTCATTTTTAAACACTCTGCAGGTCTTTTAGTTTTAAAAAAAGGTATATTTCACATACATTTTTTGTAATTTTTTTCATATTTTTTACTGTTAATATTATTTTTTCTGGTTGCAGTGTGTTGCTGTATTTAGTTGGATCATCTGTATTTGCAGCATGTTTCTGTATCTGGTTGTGTTTTCTGTATCTGCAGCTTATTTTTGTATCTAGTTGTGTTTTCTGTATTTGCAGCACGTTTCTGTATTTGGTTGTGTTTTCTGTATTTGCAGCATGTTTCTGTATTTGGTTGTGTTTTCTGTATTTGCAGCATGTATCTGTATTTTTAGTTTTTCTCACTTTGCATGTGGTATCAAGATGTTTTGTCTATTTGCATGTTTTCTAAAGTTGCGGTGCATTGAGCTCTCAGGGCCACCACACAAGATCTATTATATGTCGCAAATATCAAGCATGTTTGATCAGAGGGGAGCCTCAACTGAGGCAGTTGTGACACTTTGGAACAACTTGTCTTTTGTAGCTGCCTATGGAAGAGTTACAGATCAATACCAATAGCCTTTAGTCCTTTGAAAAAATGTAGAAGTTTGAGCTGTGCTGCCTTGAGAAAACCGTATAGGCGCCACTAATTGTAATCATTTTAAAGTGACAAATCAGCAATGATGCTGGTGTACAAAGCACATGAGAGAGGTCTGGGGATTCCAAGCAAACCAAATGAAGTATTTATTTTTGATTATTTTCCCATATAGTTGGAGCTGTGGCTTTAAGTTGAACAGTTCCCACCAATGTTTTGCATGTTAAGGCGATCACACTTGTGTTGGTCACTATGTCCTTCTGTGGTCTCTGTCTTCCTGCTGTCTCTGTGAGCTGTCTGACATATACTCTGTCTGGAATCAGGCCCAAAGCTCTGCTCTGCTGATGTGACTGGACAAATTAGTGTTACTCCAGCTAATATATTCAAACTGCTGCCGAGCGGCTGCAGAGGACATTGAGAAGTATTAGAAATGATAGCCTTGACTGTCAGCGACGCTAACCACTCCTGAAAAGGTGACAGCACATTTGGCTGCTATTTGCTGCGGGAGAGAAAAAAAATACCTACAAGTTTAACTTTGGGGCATTTTGATCTTTAATTCATACGGGATGTGGAAAATGTGTTTGGTCTATTCACATCTCAAAAGAGTCATTCTGACGAGAGAAACATGCTGTGGAGATCATCTCACGCCATCGCACCTTCAACACTTTGATGATTTTGTACTTTCTCTGTGCCAGTTGACTCATTGACAAACTATCCTTTCATAAAAAGCTCAAGGAGAAACAACTCCGCACCACTCCCTTCGAGCTCTTACGCACGCAAATGCTGAATATTTGAGGCGACTCCTGGATGTGTTTTATGCAGACGACATCTGACAGGCTTGAAATGAAGCCAGGGCAGATATGAAAGCCGGCACTGTCTGTCAAAACCAGGAAATAATCAACCCCCTCCATCCACCTCAGGGGCCCAGCTGAAAGTCATTAGCCCAAAACAATGTGCTGCTTCTACTGTTAGTCTGAAAAAAATAATAATAGTAATAATACTTAGGAGAATTACCATAACGATCTGAGAGGATCTCAATTATCTCTTGTGTTTTCGGCCCACTCTGGAAGATTGCAGCGCGGTCACTGTCAGGGGTGTGGACGGGCTGCACTGTTGGAATATTTGGGGAAAATTGGTCAGCATTTATGTTCCAGTTCCAGCCTTGATTATAATAGCCAACAATGATTACCCATCTCTAATCCTATTAGCCTTTGTTTGGAACATGGGATGAAAAACATTATATATGAAAAGAGCATTCAAAAAATCATAAAACTACATCCATATGCTTTCCAAGTATGGCATTTTTATTTTAATAAGTCTAAATTTAAGCACTACACAGAGAGAATTGCGCAAAAGAACTCGATATAAAAACTACATTTATTTGCAATATTACAAGCAAAAGTATAAAACACATACACTTAAAAACAAATATATACACCTGACCAACCTGTACTGTAAGTGCACTGGATGAACATTATTTCTCCTGCAATATAAGGCAACAGTGAACTACATGCTGTACTGAAAGGTGACATTAAGACCTCATCTCTACCTGGTATTACTATGTGATCTGTATCTGGATACCAAATGCAGATGTAAATGCATGCAGCACTGAATACAATCAGTTTGGCCAGACCCCATCTGGAGGTGGTCTGGAGAAAATGCAGTCTGTGGCCATCTTCTGAAAATGGTAAATGGGTCACCTCACTGCCCTTCTTCCTGTTCAAGCTGCCTGTCAAAAACAAGCAGCATTCTCGTGGGCTAAAAAATTTAGCTAATGCAGAAGCGTTGAAAACTGCAGTTCATCGCTTGGCCACTAGGGGCTGACTGCAGGAGCAAGTCAATCTCCATAGACCCCATGTTAAAATGCCCGACTTTATAGCAGAAATAAACATGTTACCAACCTGGTAAAGGAAAAAAAAACAGTTTTAGTCTCTACAGCTAATTTCAACAATCACAACAACTGTACGGGGGTTGAATTTCTATATAACTTACCCAGTTAAATTCATTATAGTCTGTCATATAATTAAAAAACCTGCAAGTATATGAAATTAGGTTTCAAAGTCATGAAAAAATAATAAGTATTCTCTGCTTTGAAATGCTGCGGCCGTGTCTGCTGATGGTGCTGAGCCAAAGAATGAGCCGCTGCGAAGCGACAGACTCTCGTTCAGCCACTAATGTTAATCAAAAGCACACACATTTGGGCTGAAAGACCAAAAGGTACATCCGTGATGACTTTTTGCTTGTGTTTGTATGTTTGTAGCATTTAACAGAGTTATTTATTCATGTATTGGCACTGGTGCTATGCGCTCTAATGCCATGGCATTAGAGCGCATAGCACCAGTGCCACAAGCTTGTTGCCACAAGCAACATAACCCCTTACCAGCTTGATACAAAACTGCAGTTTTGTATTAAGCTGGTAAGGGGTTATATTAAGGATGGCTCCAGTGCATCACCGAGCCATGATTTCAGGCCCTACCAAACAATCCCAAAGATGGTGAAAAATGGTCTAACTCCACAGTGCTACACAGTTCCCAGTCTCGTAGCATATTTTCAACAAGTATTTTCTAGCATGTATGATGTGTTAATAAAAAAATCTCTGAATTAACTTAACCCAGACTTTAAGACTTAAAGTTACACATAATAAAGGGAGTGGCAGCGGGACTACATGTTCCATGGGTAAAACAACATGGAAAAAAACGAGCTAGAGCCAGAACATGTTACTGGCTTATGCACTCGGTGAGCAATTTTCATCTAATTGAGTGGGTGCCATCTTCGATTCTAGTATCCAGTTCTCATTAAACATCCATACCAAGCAGCATTGCTTTGGGACACTCTCATGGGTCGGCAATGACCTGGGACAAGGATAACATAACCAGAGTTTGACAGGTTCACCCACTCCTGTCTAAACATGCAAATTAAGATCTGATCACAATCAGCCAGATTCAAGATAACAAAAAAAAACACTCAATACGAAGTGTAAATGTCATTGTCCAATTAATGTATCCTGATACAGATGGCATGTTCATCATATGCTATAATATATGAAAATGTAGTTTGTTGTTGTTGTTGTTGTTATTTTTTTAAGAAATCTAACATGACACATCATTGCTGATGATATGTTATGCTTGTGCTGTAACATGTTGGATTCAGTCAGAAATGGATACAAATCATTCACTCAGAGGAGAAACCATCTGAATCCACATGTTATTCCAATGATCCTCGTAGTTCAGACAGGAACAAGCTCCACCAACAGTTACTCTCCAGAGACCTGATCTTCGATGTCATCAAGAGACAAACCCCAGGAGGTGGTCGGCTGACAATAAATTACAGCTTGGCTTTGTGGACATACAGAGTGCCTCTGTAGAAGGTTAATGTCCACATAAAAGCTTTATTTCATTTCAGTGCTGAGCAGAACTACTTTCTCCATAAAATCACCCCAGGTGCCATCATGCTGTGCACACCGCCAGTTCAGGATTTATCTCCTGATGACATTGTGTAGATTTTTAGCAGTGTTAGTGTGGTTTTCAGAGACGTGATCACAAATCTAGACTTAAACAAAAGAGGAATAAAATGTGAATTCAGCTTTAGGTTGGATTCCCTTTCGAATTGAGCAACAACAACCGGAACCTTTTTACAGCAGATGTCACTTCTATTTCATCGCAATCATCCAGACAGGCATGATGATCTCAGGGAAGCCTTCCTGCCTCTTCACAGCCAGGATCTCCAGACCTGCCTTGGCGATGATAATCTTCATGATGTCCAGGTGACGGCTGATGCTGCTATCGATGGGGTCCAGCTTGCAGCCCTGCCGCGCCATATTGTCTTTTATTATAATGACACCGTTTGGATGTAGACTCTTCTTACAGCGCATCAAGAAGTTCATCAGGTCCTTGTCTGTTAGGTGGCCTGACGATAAAGACAGATAAGGGATGAAGACAAAAAAAAAAAACAACTAATCACAACTGAGATACCTGTTTCTGCAGGGATCTTTGTTTCTATTAGTTTTCCTACTGCTGTTTGCCAACACTTGCATAGGTAGATGGAGTCAGCTGCTCTTGACATAAAAACAGGTTACACTGTACCATGCATTGGTTGACCTAGTGTAATCTGGTGGTAAAGACACAAACTCATGTAAAAATGCGAAAGATTATAGTTTTGTTTCTTTTACAAACAAGCAAACTAAGCCAGAAGTCCTTGCCCCCAGCTCTCCCTGGAGGATCCCGAGATTAACCCAGCCCTGATGGGACAGTATTATTTTGTGTTCTGTACTTCCACAGGGAGGCATCCAGAAGATCCCCTGATAGAGAGCTAAACCTCCTTAACTCAGTTGTTTAGTGGAAGGTATACGCAGATATATGGGGTACACCCACCTTGTTTTCTTGTTGTTTACAGTATACCAGACCATCAGCCAAAAAAGTAATTTGAATATATAGGAGAGTATACCCACTTCCTCCTTGGTAACCTACCACCCTACCTAGTAGCGCACCCACCTCATCAACTGCCACTACACCACTACCTAAACTGCAGTGACAGTTGTACTCCAGGCTGCTTCTGTGTCTTCAAGTTCCCAATCCTGCCCCTAAGACTAAGCTTTGATACCTTACCAAGGAAACTTATTTTGCCTATTTTTATCCATGTTTTAATCTTATTTCTGACACTATTTGAAGCTCATGACCAGAGGTGAGGGTTGGAACAATGATCAGCTGGTAAATTTTGAGATCCACTTTCCAGATCAGCTCCTTCTTCATTACAACCATCTGTTGATCTAATGCTCCATCTTAGCCTCACTGATGAACAAGATCCTGATATACCTGTTCTTCTTCATTTGGGGTGGCAACTCAGTTCCAAACCTGGACTTTGGACAATCAGCAATGTCCAAAATATACCACAAAAATCAATAACCCAAAAGTATAAAGTTGGCTGTTAACGACCAAGGTTCATCCAGGTAATGATGGAAGGATAAAGGGAAGAGGCCTAAAATATTCTGTCTCTGAGGAATCATGCCTTTCAGGAAATTGGAAATCACCTCAAATAAAAGAAACCCCTGGAATTCTGATAACATTAGACAGTTCAATTCTTGAGCAATTTGCATCCAAGACAATGAGCAGTGTACTTTTTAAATGGTAAGTAATGAACAGAATATAAACTTACATGCCACCCACTGCATCCAGATGACGTCATACTTGTTTTTTGGAGGTGTGAACTCTTGCAGGTTGTAGCAGTAGTAGGTCTCTATGCGATCGGCATCGTCGCCAAGGTACTCCTCGTGCGCATGGAGCAGGAAGTGCTCCATCATGTCCGCCATCTCCATTTTCTCAAATACAGGAAGGAGGACGCCTTTGGTCACACGACCGATTCCAGATCCACAGTCCAGAGCACAGTGTGTGCCAGCCTTACCAGGACCCTGTGGGTGAAAAACATGAATAACTGTCAAAATTCAACTTTATTTTGAGGAAAAAGTCAGTATAATTTCTCAACTGAAGATCATTTGCAAGGCGTCCATAAAAAATAAGAGTTATGTTTCCCAGAAAACAAAATGTACATTTAAATGTCAGTTTCCCTGCTGCATGTTATTACCATATCTATAAGTCAGGGATCTAGACTTAATTTTTCTGTGTTGCCAGATGTCAGAGCTCTGTACCTCAAAAGAACCGACAGCACAAACAAGTCAACCTCAGTTCCTCAGGGCAACTAAACTATGAACTTTACCACAAGGGAACAAAAAGTCACCTCTCTTGAATCATGCTGCTTTTTCTTCCTTTTCATTTGGTATTCTGACCTCACTCCAACCCCTCCACATCAGGGGCCCCAGTGTGTGATTGTATGAAAGATGGGGCCCTGAGGAGCTCTGTGCTTGTTACAAGAGGCTTCCTGGTTTCTGTGAATTACTGCCATATTGCTCCGTATGTATGTAGCTCAGTTTAATCTGGATGTAGTCTAAATCTTTTCCTTCCCCAACTTGTGTTTAATGGAGATGTCAGGTTTAAACAGGAGCTGTTCACAGCCAGGGAGGAGGATGTGTAACTGAGCACACATTTGTGGAAGACTTGGCGGAAGAGAGAATACTTTGGTTTATTATTCAGGGTTTTTGCATCCAAGTGACGAGTTAAATGTGAGTTTCTAGACATAAAATGCACATAAAGAAAACATTCAATCTGAAGCAAACATCTGTGACTTTACCTCAGAAATTCTAGACTTTTTCAGGAGCACGAATAGCAATTCATCAATCTAAAAAGACCACATTTACCACACCAGTGTAAGGCTTTATGAAATGCTTTATGAAAAGCTTTTGAACTTGATTATGTACATTTCAACAGATCATTGGGTTGGTATGCTCTGTCACATGACTGTGAGGTTTCATAACAAAAAAAAAGGTTTACTGTTTTTCAACCCAGCCCCTACTGTAATATAATGTTCTACAGACTTCTTCCAACACAGTCTCACAGAATACGTGAAATTGACACAGATTCTTAACAATGCATGTTGGTGGACATGAAATGTCGTGCACCAAAACAATGCCAATGCAAAGTCTATTATGAACTGACACAGGTTTGCTGTGAAGCGGTCGCAGTTGTCGCACAACAAAAGATCCTCACTGACTCTTCATTGGCATTGATTTTGTGTTGTCAGCACATCATTTTAACACATTTCATGTCCACCACCACATTTTGCTTTGTCAAGATGTCATATCCATTTCACATTTTTTTATAAGACCAGGCTGTAGCTATATTAATGCGCAGCACAACCATACTTGTAGTAAATAAGTATCTAATATCCCTCTGTAGCAGAGTTCCTAGGTATATGATGATTATCCTATTTGAATTATGTTTTTTATAACCCTGTGTACAATCCCTCATTCTCAAAACCACCATCTCAACAATGACACGCTTTTGTTTGGTTCAAGTTTGACATTACTGTCCTCAAGTATTGTGTACAAAAATGTTTCTTGTGACTTCTTACACATGAGGATGCATTTTGTGTTGTATCTGTAGCCTGCATTTATGATGCAAACTCAGTTCTTCATGCACCGCAGTGTGAATTTAAATGAACTGTAGTTTGAAAATGGATTATGGTAATCCTGCTGTCTTTGCATGATTATTTGGTTTCCAGCATCTGGCAGCGCTGCCTCTTCCTGGTTTAACATCAGTGCAGTGGCCTTAAAATAAAAGACATTATAACTCTTCTTATCTCATCTTTTAGAGACGATAATACAATTTTTTTTATCAAAGTAAAAGTATTGGCAGTCTAGTTTTCTATCAGGTTTTACTGACTCTTTCCTGCATTTCTGTGAATTTGTTGTCTTGGCTTTATTAGTTTCATAAAATACTGTACCTGTCCTACAGCAAATATATCAACATTTCTAAAGTGGTGTGCTTTAAAGGCGCTGTATGTAAGAACGTGGCCAAAACGGTTACTGCACTCAAATTCAAAATACTGATGTGAGTCGTGTCCGCCCCCCCTCCCCTACAGATTCGAGGTTGCTAGACAGCGGCACGCTGTAGACTGATTTGTTTGCCCACGGACGGCTGCCGTGGCAGGGCCGCGTCGCCGCGTCGCTGCATCCGTGATCTTCGGTTTTCCAGCGGACCATTTGAGCAAGTCCGGCTTCTCTGCTGCTAATGCTGCTGCCGGGATACAGCAGAGGAGGAGCCGGCTGCTAATGTTATGTACCGGGACACTGCTAATGCTGCTTGCCGTGCTGCTGTAGCTCAGTCGTAACTGTAACTGATGCTGAGACTCTACTGACTGTGTGACTGGTAGACGGCGGTGGGTGGCGCAACAGGCCAAAACACAAA